TATTCTGCTCTACTCACTGCAATAGCTAGGCATTTCAGTGACTGGGATTATTATTCCACTGATGAGCAACAAATTAAAAATCTTACAATTATATAAATTTCTGTAGAAGTGATTTACAACGGAAAAATAAATGAATATTTCATTACAGTTGTGGTGCTATCTGTTATTTTTTTTTTAATGAGCCAATAAGGTACAAACCTGACTAAGGTATTTTTTGAGAATACCTAAGGACTATTATGCCTTTTGCTATAATTTGTTTCCCTTAGTTTAGTTTAAATCTCAGCACAAAAGCAGAAAGTAATTATAACTCTTTTCAAACAACAACAGAATTCAGAAATCAAAACACCGCATTAAAGTATATAACAAACAGAACAGAATATAATGTTGAGATTATTGCACTATTTATAAACAGAGGTGTACACAATTTTTGGCTGCTACAGACATCTTTTGGCAGCGTTATAGATCCCAAAACGGGGTGTGCTGCCTTGATTAGAAAAATTGGCTCCTGGTTAGGGAATTTTTTTGGCCTTAACATAATCTGACTACCCTTCTGGATGAATTTTACTTGTCTTTTACTCCTATCACTGACGAGGAACTCAGTAAATATAAATTTGTTGTAGGAACTTGTGGAGTGACAATGAGTAGAACTTTGTGGAAGGACCCATTGCCTTGATTTCATTGTTTTTTCTTTTCTTTTTTTTTTTTTTTTTTTTTTAAATTATAAGCCTTTCACACATGTCTGAACTGCTAAAGTTCATCCGTGCTAACATAGCAACTTGATACGGGTTGTTTTTCTGCAGATAAGCACAATAATATCACAATAATAATAATGCTTGCTTTCATTTCTAAAATATCAGATTCTTTACGTAGTCGTCAATCTCATGAATGCTCCCACATATTACTAATTCCTTCTAGCCAATAACTTCCAATACTGCCTGTAAGTATATCTGAAAGATTACTTTTTTTTTTCTGTTAACGATTTTGCCAACGTGATAAATAGTAATATTTTTGCTTAATCATGCAATGGATTTCTAACTTCTTTTGATAATCTAGCTTTGCCCTAAAGCAGTCTACTTTGTACCTTTGTAGTTCTAAGTAGAAGAACAGATAATGAGGGAAAAAAATATGTGATTTTGTACAAATAAATAAATAAATAAATGTTAATTCGTACGTTGTTCACATTCTGCATTTCTGAACACAATAGGCCAAACAGAATAACATCACCTATAACAATAAAAATTGTCCCCCAAAACTTCTTTGTCTATCTATGCAAATGAAGGGTACTCAAAGCATTCAGAGAAATACACTGAGCAATCCAACTCTCCCTAAACCAGCTTCCTGTTGACTGGTCATATAAGCTACTCTCTACATCTCATCAAGCAAGCAAGGTAATCCAAATATTTAATCACAAGTGAAATAAATAAATAAATAAATAAATAAATAAAAGCATAATGATCCAATTTCTACCAGAAATTGTATCTCTTTATCTTCTTTTTATCTCTTTTTTTGCTGCTGCTGAAAAGAAAAAACGAAAAAAAATCATAAGAAATAGAAGACATGGTTCACAAGAGAGGGCAGCATGTGGGAAAGTATGCAAAATCAAAAAATGGAACCTAATATTAAGCAGTTGCTGCTTTTTTACTTCGCACATTATTTACATTTCTTTTTCCTGAAAGATAAACAACAAAGCCAGAACCTTTTATCTAACCTTTCTTGGGCTTTGATTTATTTTCCAGTGAAAAAAAGAATTGGATTTAGGCCATCCGCACTTAAAAAATTTAAGCCTTCTTCTCAAACTGTGTGTGAATAACAGATTAACGTTCAGTGTTTTATCAGAACATTTTTGAAACTACTACTAGATGTCACAAAGCAGCAAATATCGTTTAGTATTCATTTATTTATCACTTAGGAAAACTTTCTTTTTCAGTGTCATTATTCCTTTCACTGCAATTTGTTGAGGCTCTAAGTTTAAAACAATTGCAGGAACAAACAATATCTACAAAACACTAAAACAATATTTGCCTTTTATTTATCCAGAAGAAACAACTAACTTGAATCAGATATTAAATAGTAAAAGAAGTAAGTCTATGGAAAGGATTAACAACGACAGTGTGGATCAATACAACTAAAAGATTAGACTTTTAGAGATACCTTTTCTTCATTTCATTAACATCATAGTAAAAATCAACTCAGAATTAAAGAAACAGCACTTTTGAATATCTAAATCTCAATTAAAGAATTTACTAACTCAACATCAAAAGCATTTCATAAGCAGATCCATAAAATTACTTCCTACTCTGTACTAAATAGCCTTTTTTCCAGCTTCCACAGCTATGATCCCTGGTAAAATCAGAGGTAAAATCAGAAATAGAAAACTTGCATCATTTTTCCCTGTATGTAAAAAGGGGATGGACATTTCATATTTTATTAATGGAAAAAATTATGATTATTTGCAGTATGTTTTCCTCACTTCATATGGCTTCTCACCATGCCAGCTGTCCAAAAGTCTAACTAGCTCTGTTTATCTGTTTTAAGCATTTCGTGTTCAGCAAATGGAATACATAGCAATGATTACTTTTGCGACTGTAACTAGCACTGTTACCTCTCTGTAAGTTACCTACTTTTTTAGTTATTTCATGTATTATGTTTTATGCCCATACATTACCAAATAATGCACTATGAATTGGAAGTCAATTTAAGGTTTTAATGCTTTCATACTCAGTAATAAAATCATGGATTTTAAGATTGTGAGTTCTCAGAGTCTACTGGTATCTTTTTCTAACAGAAAAAGTATTGATCTGAAATCTTAAAACTTCTTTGAAGTGAGCTACTGATTGCAAAAATGGAGAATAAAATACAATTTAAGAATGACAAATAGTATCTTTATACTGAATTGGAAAGCACTACAGAAACATGCAAAAGTGAAAGAGAACAACAGAACAACTTGATCTCAATTCAATGGTCTGTTCACTGCATTAAAGTACCCATCAAGTATAGCTTTTACTCAGCAAGAGAATCTCCATGCCCTTGCTTGGATCCTCTTCCCTTTTGGCCTGTACTGGCTTGGGATTGACCTGTATCATTCTTTAACTCTGAAGCAAGGACTAGTATATACATTGAAGAATTAGCATTCTCTAGGTTCCATCAAGTGCTGGGCATCTGTATTTTTTCTTTTTTTATGAACTGTACTTGGTGCTGAAGTAGGCGATATCTTTCTTAGAGCAAAGCTTTCATTTAAACAGATGAAACAAAACAACTGAAGAAAAAAAAATTCAGAATATCACAATTCAGCTGCACTTTTCAATCAGGTGAAAAGCTACTACAGTCTCCCTTTGCATGGCAACTTCCTTACTATTCAAAAGTGTCTTAAGAATTTGTTTTATCCCAGGACTCCTTTTTATTTACTTACCTATCTATTCATATATTCATTTTCACAGAATCACAGAACTGTAGGGGTTGGAAGGGACCTCCGGAGAGCGTAGAGTCCAACCCCCCTGCCAAAGCAGACTCCCTACAGCAGAGGTTGCACAGGTAGGCATCCAGACAGATCTCGAATATCTCCAGAGAAGGAGACTACATTAGTCCCCTGGACAGCCTGTTCCAGTGCTCCATCACCCTCACTATGAAGAAGTTCTTTTTTATATTGGTGCAGAACTTCCTATGCTCCGATTTATGGCCATTTCCCCTTGTCCTGTCCCTTTCACCAGATCACTAAAAAGAGGTTGGCCATGTCCCTTTGACTCCCACAATTTAGCAGAGGGCTGGCCTGGAAATCTAGAATATTTTGGATAGTTAGGAACTTATCTCTTCAGTATTTTTGCCATTGTTTTGTAATTAAAATCCTTCACATATATACACAGCAGAGCATTTCCATTCATGACTATATAAGCATTCTCTAAAACAGCATGGATCTGACTGTGGTTTGGAAGGAACGTATGACTGCAATACAAGCCTACATGATGTAGCACACTACTCAAAGTGAGGTGATATTAAAATGGGGCTTAAATATCTTCTGCCATCTTTCTATAGAAAACTTTCTTTTTATCAGATGAAAGATAGCCTCAGGGCTATTTTACACAGAGGAGTAATGGTAAAAAAAAGTGCAACACTTGGGAAAAGCAGCAGAAACTGGTAGGTCTGAACAAAAAAAAGGAGAGAGAGAGAGAGCATAGGAGAAGCTTGTACTTTGTTCACTGGCATTCCTTCTGCAAAATTTAATATCCAACTACTGAAGAATCTACAGCTGCAATTAGTTAAAAGTGAAACAGGTTTAGAGAAGGAACAGCTGTTCCTATAAAGCTATTATTTACATCTTCAATCTTCATTTTAAGAAGATGGCAACACTGTCACCTGCTAAGACATCCTATCTTCTTTGGTTTTGACAGCTAGTTATCTTTGCCAGAAAAAAAGAACACTTTATTTGCACAATGATGCATTTAATTCAATAACAACTGTTTGCTCCAGAAAAAGATCTGCATAATCTCTGGATTAAAAAAAAAAAAAAAATAGACTTTTGTTTTGCTGTGTTTGCTTTTCCTTTTTATTTCTGTTTCCTTTTCTCACATTTTTTCTATCATGAAACTTTTGCTTCAAGAATTCAACATTTATATTCTTTTCTGAATTCTGTGTGCATTTCAACATCTTTAGCTGTACTAAATTCCATAGCACAATACTACAGTTAAACAAAATATGTCTAAATTTCATGTGTTAATCCCCATACAATTATAGGGTCTTGCTGTGCTCATTCTTACAACCTTCTCAGTTGTCTCAGAGTAAGAACCTAGCCATTCAGGACCCCATGTTGACCACTTCACAAGTACAGAATTTTGCAGTATCTACACTTGAAATAAAAGATTATACAACCAACAGACCTCAACCAACCAGAAGAAAGTCATCAAAGAAACAGAATAGCAATACAGCATTATGTTAGCATTAGAAATCTCAGAATAGGGAGAGAACTTACTTATTTTATACCACATTTTTAACATTAATTTGCTTACAGTGTTAGCCGAGTTCCCATTTAAATGCAAGCCACTGTCAAAGAGAGGTGATGAAGCTCCACTACTGTGATCACTGGATGGTCCAGGGGAACCTGGAAATCAGATCATGAAAGACAATTGCTTATGTTAAAATATATATATATATATATATATATATATATATATATATATATAATATCTATCTATCTATCTGTCTGTCTATCTATCTAATGAAATACTTTTTCCAGCTGTAGAAGATGGAAAAAAAGTTGATACCTATCACCACACTACACCAAAAAATAAAAAACTAATTTAATGTTATTTTTTAGAGGCTATGCTCATGGAAACTTCTTCAATGCTTAATTGTTTGAAGGAGCAAACCTTTATTTTTCTTTTTTTCTTTTTTTTTTTTTGTCCCAAGAATGAGACATTCAAAACCAAGTAACAAATTAAGTTACACAAATTCCATTAATTTAATGAACAGATTTCCTATTCAGTGTTTAAATTCTCAACTTGGACTATGATAATGGACAGTAAACTTTCAGACAAGTACTAACTGTACATGTATGTACATTTTGCTAACAGATATATATCTTTCTTAAAATGCCTATTATATTCAAGAATGATCCACCTTCTCAAACTAAGAAATTAAAAGCAAATAGTCATCTTTATGTTAGTAATTTAGTATAACACAGCTGTATTCTTTGAGATATGTTTCTTTGACAGCTGTGCATAGTGATCCTGCAGTTATTTAGCAATTAATGAGACTAGAAATGCATTTGTATGCAGTGACTTACTTGTAATGACAGAAACAGCATGAAGGCACATCATTGCATAATTTTTGCTTAAATGTAAAACACTAACATATAACACCAATTATGCATAACTACAATCAGAAAGTACTTTGTCTTACAAAGCACATAACATCAATTTTACAGCATTATATTCAACATCACTGAAAACATTTTTTTGTCTGAAGAAGTCACCTGAAATTGCCTGTAAATCAGTTCACATTAGTATGTGTGTCAAGTCTAACATCACTAGACTCAAAAAGTTATTCATAGTCATACATTTTCATATACATCTGAATATATATATCTTCATACATATATTTAAAATATATATCACATATTTGAAAGATTTAGCAAAATGGAAGTTAATTCAACAAAAGCTCATCTTCTTAACAACTCTGTCAGTTCAGTGTTGAGGTCTTAAAATTATACTGTGAGCTTTAAAGTTTTGGTGTGTTTTTACTGGTGGTCCTTATTTTATTGCCTGAGATGATGCTAGCAGAAGGCATTGTCACATTCAGCTTATACAGGTCTACTCCAAGTGCTAACTTCAGTATCTAGACACATTTTGTTGCTACTATATACTTAGAGCAGACCACACACACAAAAAAAAACTAAAAGAAAAACAACCTAAACAAACAAACAAACAAACAAACAAACAAAAAAACTATGTTTAGACTTGTAGACCATCACAGTGACTGGCAGTAAGAGAAAGTGATTTCCTTTTTCTTTTATTAAAATATTTAAATAAATATGTTGTCATTAAACTCCCCACAGAATAGCCTGACTGTTGGAATCACATCAGAAAATGTTTTTAGTAGAGAAAACTGACATCCATTGCATAGGAATGCTTAGAATAAAAGATGAGGCAACAATTTTTTTTACTCCCAGCATGTTCCTACAGACTTGCTTTTCAGTTCAGTAGCATTCCTTGGTTTTCTGAGTCTCAACAAACTATACAACCTCTCTCAGTCTATCACAGAATCACCAGGGTTGTAAAAGACCTCCAAGATTATCCAGTCCAACCATCCATCCATCACCAATATTTCCACATTAAATCATGTCCCTCAGTACAACATCTAAATGTTTCTTGAACACTTTCAGGGATGGTGACTCTACCATTTCCCTAGGCATCCTGTTCCAGCACCTGCCTACTCTTTCAGAGTAGAAATTTTTCCTAATATCCAACCTGAACATCCCCTGGTGCAACTTGAGGCCCTTCCTTCTAGTCCTATTGCTACGTCACCTTCAAATTTTTCAGTCTGCTCTCTGCTTGTTCTGCCCCACTCACTCATAGATTTTTCTATCTTGGCCTCACTCCATATTTTGAAAGTTTCTATTGTTTATGCTCAACTGCTTTCACGAGAGGTGCAGCCCTCTCATCTCTCCAATGAGCTCCAACTGCTGCCCAGCATGGCATCCCAAAAGCTATCAAGTGATCTTTCCTCCTCTGAAGAAAACATAGGATATGCATACATGATAGATACAATTTAAAAACAAAAAACAAAACAAAACAAACAAACAAACAAAAACCACACAGAAACAATAAAACAATTATTAATTGTTGTTATTAATTGTATTAATAATACAATTAACAATAATTAAAAACAATTAAAAGTAATTTTTCTCTATCTGCCACTGTAGATCTTGCAAAAGTAGCTGAGACTTCAAATCAAGTGCTAGGCATCAGTCCAATCTCTGGAAAATTAGTTCATGACTACATAAAGAAAATGTTTATTTAAAACAAACCATCTGCTAAGGTAATACCCCCTCTGTGACTACGGTATCCCACTAAGTACTGCTATTAGAAATATGTGGTATGTTTTGAAAGTTTCAGCAATCATTATTATTACCTACCCTCTTCGTATTCCATCCAGATTGCAGCTAGACAGTCAACCTATGAGAAGTGCAAACTTACACTGTGAAAGGCTTTATCTATGCATTTTTTCTTAGCTGTGTCATTTTTGTTATTTTAAGAAAGCTAGGTCAGGAAGGATCCTCTGAGTATGAGGGAAAATGATTTTTACTTATGCAATATATGAGAATGCTGAGAGGAAAAACCCCGTGAGATGAGAAGGGGTCACAAAGAGAGATATCAAGGATACACGTACTTGCAGCTCACAAAAGCAACTGACATACTCCTGAGGGTGGCAAGAAAAATCCAGAACTCAGAGGTGAATGAAAGAAACTTAAGGATCACAGTGGATTTTGCAGATCTTGTGGTGATTCAGTAAATCAAGTTAACATGCGAAATCTAAAGCAAGAGCTCATTTGCAGTGGTAGAAGTAGGAGTTGTTTACATATCCTTTAAATTCTTTTTGACACAATGACTGAGATTTAAAAAGTTAGGGATTCTATTGCTTAATTTAATAAAACCTGGATTTTATTTACAGTTCAAAAGGCTTAAAATTAATAGACATACAAAATATTTTAAAGTTCTTATTACCTCAGAGTCCCATCAACAGATTTTACTTTTTTCCCAATTTAGACAATTAATTACACTAAAACTGTAAAAAACAAACAAAACCTCCAAAATGAAATAAGTCGGCAGATTGCTGTAAAGCAGATAGTCAGCAGGACTTTATCTTTTATGACATTACAATTTGTCTTACAGTCAATGTTGCTAAATGATACTGGAGAGCTCCTTAGCAGGGTCTGCTGTGATAGGACAAGGGAAATGGTTTCAAACTAAAAGAAAGGATTACATTGGTTATTAGGAAAAAAAGTGTTTTACAGTAAAGGTAGTAGAGCACTGGAATGGGTTGCCCAGAGAGGTGGTGGATGCCTCATTCTTGGAGACATTCAAGGTGAGGCTGGATCAGGTTCTGAGCACCTGATCTAGCTGTAGGTGTTTCTGTTCACTACAGGGGAGCTGAACTAGATGACCTTCAAGGGACCCTTCCAGCTGTAGTGATTCTGTGAATCTATGAAAGATCATGCATGGAGAAAATGAGGGACATCAATTTCAACTTTCATCTTTCCTTTGAAATGTCCTGTGATGGGGATGTTTGTCTTTTGTTTTGCCACATGGAAAACACACATTATGCTCTTAGCAGTATTATTATTCCTCCTTAGGTATAAAGAAGGAAAAACATCTATACTGCTCTCTCCCTTTTTTTATTTTAAAGTACCTCTGGTGCTGACAAAATCTATCAAAAATATTGTGCCGTTAAATTGCCAGTCTTCAGACTTTGTGCGAAGTTAAAAGATGAACTTTAAAAGTTCCTTTCAAACAGTTCTGTGATTCTGCAGTATTCCTGAACACCTGAATCAGAAACCTTTACTTTACTAAAACCATCATCCTCTTTCAAAGGGTCTGTAGCCAATCATTTGGAATCTGCCCCTGTTACTGTTATTCAAGAGAAACCTGTTCAGAGTAAGAAATTCAGTGTCATTTTAGAAAGGCTATCACAGGATATTAACAAGCACAAGAAAGACAAAATGCTTCTTAACTGAAAGAGATATATTGGATACAAACTGCCTATTTGGGGCATCTAATTAGGCCTGCCTCCTTTACACAGAGCATGAGCAAATCTGATACATTACGCTACCCTGCTCAGTCTGGTCCGCTATGTCATGCCTGAAGTGTAATATTCAGAAATAGAACTCAGTACAATCATACATTTGAGGAACTTAAGAAATGCCCCTTCTTCCTAACTGGACTTGAAACCTCAGCACAAAGCTCACTAGCTCCTCTCCTGGATGTTCTCTTCAGCCATTCAATACTGGCTGAAACCAAGCTCAGTGAGCAAGATGATCATTGGTAAATGACTTGATGTAAGTACTCATTCCAGCGGTGAGCAAATAAGCAAATAATGTCTGGAAAATCATGGAATATAGGTCTTCTTTAAGGGAATACATAAGTGGTGGGACTCCCATTCAAGAAGAGCTTTCACGAGACCATGCACAAGGTGGAATTACAGTCATGAAGACACATATAACAAATTAAGGAGCAATTCTACTGAGCAGTAAAATGCATCCCAACTCACACTGCAGGCAATATTGAAGTGCATACATGAATAAATCTGAAGTATCTTGTCCTTTCCTGGCATCCCAGAAGACTCAAGCTCATGGGCCCCTATCTCTAAGCATACAGTCAAACCAGCTGCTACCCTGGCAGTTTTAGTACTACAGTGTGTTCACTTCAAATGCAACTATGCTGTCTCTTCCCATTATCCGCATTATTACTATTTCTCATAAGCACATAATTGGGAGCAGTATCTGCCTCCCCTGCTTCCTTCTTAAAGCTCTTCCTTCCTTCCCTACTATATCTCATACTGTGGTTACTGAAGACACAAGTTGTCACAACAGGGAAAAATTTGCCTGCAGTTCTTGTAATATTTTCTGTGGCTCTACTCTTTTGAGTTTGGCATGAGTTTAGACATGAATACTCATTAACTGGCACTTAAGGATGAATTGCTTGTTTCTGTGTTTGGAGAGACCCTAACTGCACCAAACTGGTGATCATCTTGAAGACATGCACAGGACAAATGGGTGATCAGGCCTAGCCTAGCACGGGTACATGAAAGGCAGATCCTGGTTGACAAACCCTATCTCCTTCTATGACCAAGTGACCTGCATGGTGGATGAGGGAAAGGGCTATTGATGTAGTTTACCTATGCAGTATGCATTAGATTCTTACAATGTAAGCCATGGAGTACACAAATAATTTCCTATTTCTTGCAGTAAAACACTCTAGGATTGAATTATCATTTCTGTTAGTACCATTGTTTCATAAGAATACAACAAAGAGGAAAACAAATTACCCTTATCCATTGTCTCTTACCTAATGGGAGCTTTAAAAATGATGGAGCTTCTCTGAAGTACTGAACAGTAATTGTAACTTCATCACCAGCATTTCGCAGTAGGTGTACCTGTCAGCGTGACGAATAACAGCTACTTTAAACCACAGAACCACCAGTTGTGGAAAGCACATTAATGAAATCAGTATTTCTGTTGATCTATAAGGTAGTCAGTATGAACATTTCTGAAGAGGAATGAAGACTATTTGGGGGTTAAAGCCACACCAGTAAAGGAGTAGGCAAAAGAGTAAATGAAAAAGTAGGCAAGCCCAATGGAACAACCTGAAGAAATAATTTAGTGGGCAACCTGATTTTATATACCAGCTGAACATAAATTCTCCAGTCAAACTCATTTTATAAAGCTGCTACAGAGTAGTACTAGTGGTAGGGAGAAATGTATTATGTAAATACATTAATCATGTGCATGAGTACATACATAAGTACATAACATAAATTAATACATCACATATATTTTATATAGGGTTTATATTTTGTCTGATTCAGGTGATAAATTACAGTCATTTTTCCATTTAAAGCATAGTTTTCATTTTTGTGACTGTCTTCATTAACTATAAATATTTGCTAATCAGACGTGAACACATGTAGGCGTGAATTTCATATATACACACGTATGGGTACAGCAGCTCACATCAGAAACATCAGAATTGAATTGAAGACATAGCACATTACTGCATGAAGAACTTTTTAAAATGCATAACTTCAAATAATATCTTTGATGGAACTCAGTTCCCAGTAGAGGACAGAGGTATTCTCCAGCTACATATCCATGACTGAGGAAATAGGTATTATGTTTGGCTGGTACGCACCCTGCAGCCTTGGTCCCGTTTGTCAGAAATAGATGTTAAGACCCGTGGTCTCTAATCTAAGCATAACCAGAATAAGTGAGTATCAAGCAGAAATGTAACCATAGCAATCAGTAACTCCTATAGAAGTATTTACAGGTCTAACATGCTCGGAGGAAGCAGGTGCTTGTATTGCTTCAGGCCACTATTTCAGCACACTGCCACATCGACTAACACAAGAAGTAGGATTACCTCAAATATTATTATTCTTCCTTATGTGTACCTGAAATAATGCTTATACCAGTGACTGATCTATTCACCTGCATAAAAAATATTAAGCTTATTCCTGATGAATATGAAAATCCAGAACAAGTAAAGAAATCAAGTAGTCACCTAAGCTAAGAATCTTAAGCTTTAAAAATGTGTTGGAAAGGACTGAGCAAAAAAAAATGACCATAAAAAATACAACACTACCGAGAGTAGCACAAAAGCAGCAAAGCCATAACCCACTCTGTTTCTTACAGAGCCAGAAATAAGTTGTGAGACAGAGAAGGTATCAACTTAGCTGGAGACAAAAACAAACATGAAAGGGAGGAAATTATCTTAGTTCATTGAATTAGCCCTTTTATCTTATTTTTGCTTACAAATACAATAAGACATGTTTTGAACCACAAACCTTCATTATTCTTTTTAAAAAATAACACTGATCTTGAACAGCATAATTACCAGTAATTATAGATTTTTTTTTCTTCATGATTTTGTACATTATTTTATTTACTTAATTATATACTTCAGTTTCTGATTTACTTGAAAACAATGCATACACAAATATCTGGGATATGATACTGTTACATACTGCGGATTGAAAAATATACTCTGAGCCAAATCAGTTTTTCCCCGAAGGAATGGAAGTTTAAATAAATTTGCTTAAGGCTAACTCTTAACTGAAGCATGAAGACCCATTCCTCAGAAAGTAATGCTGCCATTCTTCAAAAACTCCACAAATATCAGAGCACCACAGTGACTTTTCTCTGGAATTTCAGGTCTGTCTCAACTATGATAAATGCATTATAATTGAAAGGACTTAAAAGCCAAAGAACTCATAATTTTACAATTAGCAACATGTTTTAATGCTCACCTACTTTTATCTATTAATTATGAAAAGAAAGAATTATCCCAGGAATTAAAAACAAAATACCAATCCCTCTCCCCCCCCCACCCCCCCACCTCCCAAAGAAAAATAAACAAACAAACCCATAAAAGACAGAAATGGATAAATTACAAAACAAACATAAAATTCCTAAATGGAAAATTAATCAATTGTTACTGATATATTTAGTATGTAAGAAACACGTCAGTCAGTCAGAAAACTGCCAGCATCATCCACTCGCAATGGTATGCAACGACAAAGAATGTGATTTCAGTTGAAAGATGGTCAGTTTCTAATGAAGGTTGTCTTGTGTCACTCAGTAAAAGATCTAAGCAACCAACTTTTGAAGTTATCAAAATAAGCAAGTGATGTGCTACATTAAACTTGGAAATTGTTGATGATTTGGACACCATTTCCTCTTCTTACAAACTTTTTCAGTTATCCTTTTTTGTACTAAGCCTTCCTAGTATAGCAGGTATTTTGCAGACATCCAGAGTTAACACAGGAGGAAACATAAGAATCAGTAAGAACCACTCTTGGTGTCCATGCCAATGAAGTACAGAGAAAAGCCACAGATCTATGGACTGATGAGCCTTAGAATTTATCTGAAATCATGCACATGTTCAGCATTTCAGGCATAAAGAACTGAAACCTGGGGTATCTAGAAAGTGATAATAAAAAAAATCCTCTTTTACATATAAATTCTTACAGCTTGCAGAAGACCATAATAGCATATCCATGGACAAAATGCAGCAAAATACTACTTCTTCCTTCCCCCTCCCCCACAACTCCCCAAGCATTGTAATATTACTGTCACCATAAAACAGAAAATCATTTACAATATTCTGCATGTGTCAGAAATAAATATGTTAGGCAAAATCTTTTGCACACTATTCCAGAAAACCAGTCCATGATTCACTGCAACATTGCTACCATAAAAGCTAATATTTATTCAGCATAAGTCAGAGGGATTTTTATATGTTTTCATTCGATATGCAAATATTTTCTATACTGAATAGAATCATATGAATTGATTAGAGAACCATCATGCAAATTACATTAAGTCTTATGAAGGATTAGTTTCTCTAGAGTATTGGCTGTAGCTATAGTTGTATTTGTACAAATACAGAACTACGTTTTTTTCCTATTAGACTTTTTGCTAACACTGTATTGGACAAAAAAAAAAAAAAGAAAAAAAAGAAAACAAATATAGAAAAAAAACTAATCAGTTAAAAATACCTTGTGATTTCCTAATCCAGTTTTTTAATAGTTTTGATTCAGTGTGTTAGTTTATTCACCACCTGAAGCATATGAACAGATCCACACTCTATGAGTTTGTCTGGTATCTACAATATTGAACAAGAGCAGGTAACTAGAATCTAGCCTCAATTCAGTGGCTAAACTAACATTCCTAAATATATTAATGATAGCTATGAGATCTACACGCTTATTTGAGCTCTCTTGTTTGTCTCTCATGCTCACGTGTGAGACGACTCTTCTGTTAAGAGTCAGTGACCTTATGAAGAGAAGCAGTAGAAATGTTGGATCATGTAAGTTTGAAAAACCTTCAAGATCACCAGTTTAACCACCAACGATCACTAAAATAAGTTCCTTAGCATCACATGCAAACATGTCTTGAACACCTCCAGGGATAGATAATCAAAAGGTACACCTGGCAGCTCATTTCAATGCTGGTACTTAAGTACGACTCATAAAGGGATTTTTTCCACCCACAATCCACAGAGTTTGTTAATCTCTCCTGTCATCGTACATAATAATTTTACTAGTAATTTAATTTTATGGGGCTGTAAGTTCTCTACATGACTTTCATTTTGAGGAAATTTACCAAATGCAAAATAACTGAGCTCTTCTTATGTAAACAGATTGTCTGATCTTTTACAAATACATTTATTTAATTAATCAATCCAATATCACATGGGCATGCCCTAAGTCTTTTTTAGCTTGTAGATGAGTCCTCTGAATAATACCAGGCTAGATTCCACAATTCTTTATGCCCTGATGAAAATCCAAGGCTCACACAATATAAAGTAGTGGATTAGTCCAAAGCACAAAACATTACTTAGGTAGAAAAGGATGGAAAAGAAAGCTGGAAATAAAAAGAAGAGGATACTGTTTCAGAGAAACTATGTCAGCCACAGCTGGAATGCACAGGTGTGACTGAAAATTAAGCTACTGGTTAGTTTGTGCATAAGACATAATCAAAAGAAGCAAGAGTGGAAAGGTCTTTCTAGAGATGGCCAGGGATAACAAAGGACATTATTCAATGTTCCTGAATTTATGAAGTCTTGTTTTAGAAAAGAAATAAAAATAAAAAAAAGAATTCTATCAACTCTTTCAAAGACATTCCAGATTTATTCATGGTCTGCACTCTTTTGTTCTTATTCCATCAATCTTCTTTGTCAGTATTTGGCTTTCTTTTTGACTTTTTATATAGCAATGACTGACAAAGTCCCTGAAGGTAAGAATTACCTTCCCTGTGGTGATCACCTGCCATACTTACTGCTCCTCACAACTCCACTTCTATTTCCCTCTCCTTCTAACTGTTTTTAGCAGTGGCTGTCCTTGCACAGGATGCTGAGGGCCATGGTCCAGGTGCTGAAGATGTACAGATGGAGTGCTGGCAGCAATGCCAACAGCAGTGAGGATGCAGGTGCCAATGATCACCTTGTCCATGTCTGGGGACAAGCAAAGGTTTTGATTAATTTAGTCAATTTTGTAGAAGAATCTACAATGTCATGTGCTAGTATTTCTGAATATTAAGATAGAGATTTCGTCATTTTAACCGTAATAAAATATGCAAAATGTGATCCCACTTCAAATATATAATGTCTACTTATGCATTTTTATTTATAACCAATTATTATACTGTTTCCCCTCAAGAATTACATATTTTTCCTTCATAACACCAGAGACAGAGTCAGTTTCAATTTCTGAAGTATATTTCTATTAACTACAGTTTACACATGCCTCTATTAGCAATTCAATTTTTGACTCTTTATTTATGACTGAAAAGGCTACTATAGGTTGTTATAAATACTTTGTAGGTTGGAAGATCTTTGGAGTCCAACCTACAAAGTATTTATAACAACCTATAGTAG